TATTACATTAATTTAGTGCAAAAGCAGTGTGCAAAACATGCTTGGATTATTTCTAACAAAATATTAACCATATTTTCTTTAAACATTCTAATACTTGATATCAATGTATGTTTGGAACAAAACTGTGGAAACAGTGATACATTTTATTCATTGTTCGTTCAAAAGAACAGAATTTTTGAAATAGAAATCCTTTTGTAACAATTTAAACAAAAATGTAACTGTCACTTTTGATCAATTTAACGTGTCTTTGTTGAATAAAAGTGTTATTTTTTGAATGGTAATCTTTTGAATGGTAACGTATAAATCTTGGTATGTATAAAATATGAAGCAGCTGTTTTCAACACTGATAATAATCAGAAATGTTTCTCAAGCAGCAAATCAGCATATTAGAATGATTTCTGAAGATCATGTGACACTGAAGACTGGAGTAATGATGCTGAAAATACAGCTTTGATCACAGGAATAAATTACATTTTACAATATATTCACATATTTTAAATTGCAATAATATTTCACAATGTTACTGTGTAGTACTGTATTTTTTATCAAATAAATGCAGCCTTGTCGAGCAGAAGACATTTCTTTCAAAAACATAAAATTGTACTATGTATGCGGCAATATATATATATATAAAAAAGAAATAATAAATATCAATATACATGCTAAATATTCAAAAAATACTTTTTAAATCTATTTTTATCTGTGTTTATTTATATGGCTCAGCCATGATTAAACACACAGGCGTCATCCTCTGATCTAGAGTTCCACATTCCATCAAACAAATGCTCTGGTCCTGGTCTATTTCTGCTCTTCTGCTTTACGCAATATCACACACACACACACACACACACACTGTTGCCATGGTGATATAAGCAAAGAGACACATGTGATTGACGTGTGTCAGCTGAAATTAGCTTCTGTCTCCTCTCTGAGCAAGTGTCACTAACAAAACAAACTCTCAAAGGGGCCAAGTTTCTTAGCCAAAATTGAGTTTTATATAAACAATTAAATGCAAAGCTGCTGTACAATGAATACATGTTATGTAAATGATATGTTAATATATTTAGTTATATATTATTATTACTAAAAACTATAAAAACATCATTACTTGAAATAAATTGGTAACTGAAATAAAATAAAATATAAAAACTTGCACTTATTTTATTTCAGCTAATTTCCAAGGCAACATTTCTATTATTTTAACTTGATGTACTAAAATAACTAAAATTTGAAATAATTTTTTTTAACTATATAGGCATATTTAAAAACAACAAAAACTAATAAAAATGACTAAAACAACAAAATTGCTAAATCTTTCAAATTGAAATGAAACAGAAAATGTAAAAATTAAATCCAATTCAACAAATATTAACAAAAACTATAATCGTATCTCAATGATACTAAAATAACACTGCTTTTACTTTTTCTTCAATAAATGTAAAAATCAAGTTTATTTCAAAAGCGTGACATCATGTTTTTCCATGATTTGGTCTTTCAATTATTATTTGTTTAAATGACCATCAGTCTGATAACGGTTTACAATAAAGTACAATTTGTTAAATGTAGATATTGCATTAGCTAACATGAACTAACAAAGAGCAATAGATTTTTTGCAAAATGTATTAATCTTCTTATTTAAAAATATATTAGTAAATGTTGAAAATAACTAACTTAGATAAACTTAATAAACACTGTAGGATTATTAATTGTTCAAACATTTATTAATGTAAACTAATGTTAACAAAAGAAACTACTGTAAATGTTACTTTTATAAATTAAGACAATTCTAATGACACAATGTGCAACAACATCAAATAACAACCACAATGCAACTGCACTACAGTGCCTAGTGACATTTCAATACATTATGAGCAAATTCAGTTTGGCGTGATGTTTTGGAAATATCCAATAAAACCCTGAATCTGATGGGAACAAAATAATGAAGGTGCTTTCACAAACTCCACTTCAGTCTGCAGGGTTTCTGAGCGTGTTTGCGTCTTCGAGACAGTCAAAGTGTCAGGTAGCAGACAGACTGTACGTCAGGAGTCAGGACTGATGGGGTTTTAATAGTTTGTGTTTGGTAAACAGAGCATTACGCAGCCTGAGAGCCAATGACAGCACAGCAATGGGAGAAATGCATGAGGATTATCATTTCCGAATGCAAAACACTCGTTATCCGTCACTTGCTATCTCTCATTCACACACACACACACACACACACACACACACACACACGCTCACGACCTTCTCCAGAGAGCCTCATCCTGTTCTCAAACACTGTTCCGGCTCTAAACTCTCGCTGTCTGGCCTTGGATGATATCTAATAGAATTTCCGGACCTATTAGTTTCTCCAAGAGCATTGAAAAAAAAAAGCATAAAACTTCAATAAAGCATCATCTGCCTTTAACCAAAGCAACAAGCACCAAGATGAATAACATATAGAATTTAAAATAATACTGTGCAGGTCAAAGACGAGACGTCCCATTTTGGTGTCCACATGAAATTAAATTTACAAAGGGGATTTTATACACATAAAAAACATATTAAATGCAAGTCAAGTCTACTATAAAGTTTCAAATAACTTTTGTGATAATACAATTTCAAAACATGGATTCCATCGTCACTCAAATGAAACAGTATACTTATTCTGACCTGTACTTATTAAAATATATAAAATATGGGATCATACTAGGGGTGTGCGATATTGACAAAAAATTATATCTTGATATTTTCTGGGATTTTATCGATAACGATAATTAGACGATATTTTGCTGAGTGTGTTATTGTGCTGGTACCTTAAGGACTGCCGAAGACAGCTAACTCCTAATGTTTTTAATATTCTTCCTATTCTGTGTGGTGGTCAGTTCATACTGATAGAAATTAATCTTTTCCAATAAGTTTAAACTGATTTTTGCATTTTATGGGCATTTTTACCTTTATAAAGCCATTTTTTCTTTTGAATCAAATTCTTACATTTAATCAGGGAATTAGAGTAATAAGACATTTGGGCTGTTACCAAGCAAATTAAATCAACACAGAAGCTGCATCTGAAGTGGCATTTAGATGTATTTACACACACGTATTTTGTTTAATGCAAGACATGAATGCATTTAACCTGCAATTACAAATGCATAAATAATGTTTTGACTTTAAAGGATAGTGGCAAAGATGGGTAAATATTTAAAATGATTTAAAATGGGTTTTTTAATGTAGGTTCTAGTTCTAAACATGCCTGACAAGACTTTTTGGCATACAAACTATTGTTCCACTCAATAACATTTTTTTCTGTAAATAATGGTAAAAATACTCATTATTTATTATTTCCTCCGAAATAAATACAATTAAACACATTCTAATACGAAAGAAAAAAAATTAAAGCGGTGTTAACCTTTTATTTTATTGTACTCAATTTAACACAAGTTTCAGGTCTTATTGCGAACAATTCATTAGTAAACATTATTTCAAATAAACACAATTCGCAATGTTTTATCAAAATGCTCAACCTTGGAAACAACTTTCCTTTTCTGATGACATCATCAAGTCCACTTTTTTTAACCCCTCCCCCTCAACCACCTGACTCAATGCTGCAATGCAACGCCCACTTTTCAAAATCCAGTCAAAGGATCAACTAGATTTCAGATGTAAAACAGGATCCAAACGGAATTACAGATTAATCGTCTTTTATGAGTGAATGAATGAACTACTAAATGTTAAATGTAATTGAATCAGTCAATGTCAGTCATTTTCTTATTTTTTCCAAATTTTCCACTCCCATATTTAAGAAAACATTTCATATTTAGTTTTCACTCCTAGTGGAGAGCTCTATTTTAGCATGAAATGTCCGGAAACCAGCACACTGAAACTATAGGTTAAAACGATCATTTATATCCTCTAAATCAGACGGGATGCTTCGATAGCACAATATGAACCCCGATGTTTGGCTTGAGTTACACAGAACCCGATCGCAGATGGTTTAATATGATCTGAGGTTCTGCCATCAGCAGTTCTTAATGTCCTATTTTGGACTTACGGGCCTTGAAAAGACGCTGGCACAGCAAAGGCCAAACATTCAAGTGCATGTTTCAATGATAAAGTAGAAAGTTAAATACAATGTTTCTTATACAGGTATCAGAACTATTTGTCTGCAAAAACTCGCCTAAATCCACTAAATGCTCTGAATCCTAAATAACCCAAACAGATACGTCTCATTCATCTTCTGCACAACCTGAAAGACTTTCTCTGCATGGCTGTTTCTGGACGCAGATCTTTGGGTTGGATCCACCCAGAGTTGGACTGGATGAAATGAGCACTTAGACAAAAGCCACACAACTGGAACGGGAAGGAATGTCCCTGGAATTTCACATCAGAAGCTTCTGTATTTCCAGAAATACTCTCTTTGTTGGAGACGAGTTGGAACTTGTTTGTACATTTAATTTTTTTAAATACGCCAATTAATGTATTAATGTAACTAACAAAATGATGGTATATAAATGTAATAATCATCTGTAAAACAAAATATATATCAAAATACTATATTATTACAGTCTGATACCATAACACATGTAAGGACACAAGCAGAAACTCCAAAACATTCAGATCTTTAACAAACGTCTAACCTTCAAGACATGCAAATGGACATTGGAGAATGTCTAAAGCATACACTGATCAATCGAAACCAATAGTAAATGGACAGAAATATGACAAAATTTGTATCCTTCAAAGTCCAAAATCCAACTTCACAATAAGAGTCATTAAAACAAAGTACTCCTTCAACTAGTTAGTGAACTGCAAAAACAACTAGTGAAATCTCAAAAGAGCAATGTGACACTTCACAATACCAAGTGACCAAATACAAAGTCCATCCTGCATTAATATTATATATTACACCTGTTACATCAGAAAACAAAGTCCAAATGCCTCCACAGGAACTCTAGTACTCTACAATGAACTTGATGAATTCAAATCCTTCCTGTATGGAATTTCAGCACATCCGTTCTCACCTGTATCTGGTTCCCTGGTATAAAAATAGTCCGAGTCACCTAGAAGAGGTTGGGTTCTCCGACTGCTGTTCCCCATGTAGAACCCGGACAAGTTCTGGTTATTGACCTTAAGAACTAGTTTAGACCTTTTCCAGTCGCATTCACCTCAAACAGTGATCTTTGGAGGTGATATTGGGCATTTTCTTCAAGCCCCAAGACATCAGCCTGCTGTCCATCTACATCCAGGTCAGAAATAAGCACCCAGGATCAGAGACATCACTCAGGGTTCGCGCTTAGTCACCCTCAGTCGAATCCCATGACCCGGCCTGACTCAGACATCAAACCGAATGGAATCTAAAAATAAACTCAAACAGAACTGCAGAGAACTTCCATGTGTGCCGGATGATGTCAGAATGCCAAAACATCCCGATTCCAAAAGGAACTAGGAAGCAATGATGATCTAGATCCACAGATGAAAAACCACCAGACGTGAGAAATGATCGATAAAGCCTACGGCATGGAAAACACGCAAACGAAAAAGACAATGGAAAACCAGTCAATACATTTTAAACCTCCATTACAGGAGGAAAAAAGCTGCAGACATCAGATAATACAGCTCAAATCAGAGCGCAGCGCTTGAAATTCTCAATCCGTGTCTATCCGTTCCATACTTTATTCCCACAAAGCCCTGCACATCCATATACACACGCCTGCTTCTCTCAAACACACACACACACACACACACACACACACAGCACAAGCACCATCTAATTACTGAAGCTCAGGATAGTAAGAGCATGTTTTTCATTCTAGTAATCTACTGCACTCATTTCTCTAAAACCCCAAATTACAGTTTTGGGATGAAAAACAAGTGGCCAGAGTTGACTTAAAATAATTCTGTACTTATTCTGGCCAATCAAAGAATGGAGCACACTGAAGCAAAACCCATCAGAAATTGTTTCACAAAAACCACTCAAAAATTCACATTAAAACTTGACTTGGACCAATTTTATTGGTCGATTTACACTGTAAAAAAAATATTTTTCTAAATTGTAAATAAATCAAAGATCAATAAAATACTATTACATTGCAAAATGTAGCTTAATTTTATATTGCCAACAAAATCATCATAAATATATACATTTATAAACAAAATGTATATATTTATACTCAAAGATTTTATAAAAATTAAGCGCTTTGCAAATAAATGGACAATTTTATATTTCTAAATGTAGCTTATATACATGCACTTATAAAGAATTTTGTTATCAGGGATTTACATAGGGATGCAACCAATCAAAAATACAGCCAAAACACCCACCGAATACATGACACATTATTACAGTAGAGTTATTTTGCGAATGTCACAATCTCTCAACCACACACACACAGACGATTCCTCAGAACTGCTCAGATATAAAAGGGCACGTTTAAGAAATGACATAATTTCTACTGAAAACTTATTTTAAGTATCGAAGAAATAGTTTCTTGCATTACATCTTAATATATATTTAAATAGTAAACAGTTATTTTAAGTTATAATAATATTTCACAATATAACCGTTTTTCCTGTATTTTTGAGTAAATGAATGCAGCCTTGTAAGCAATACAAATCATACTAGCTCCAAACTTCTGAACAGCTGTGTAACAATAATAATACTCTCTTTTTATATAGCCCCTTTAAATGTAGCTTCTCCGGGAACTTTGCCGAGTAAAAGCTAAATATTTGAATTTAAAAACTATAAATGTATAGAATTTTGCCTGTTTTCAATCTATATATTAATCTATAAGTGTTCAATCTATAATTTTACAGTCTGAAATTCTGGATTAAAAGTGTTACAATCTGCAGTAAGAAAGACAGAAATATGAAAATTTAAAAAAATAACATATTTTTTTATTAAATAATATTATTTTGAAATGATACCATCTGCTTCCAATGTCAACCCAACCAGCAACCAATCATTTAAAATAATTGCATTGCGTAACAATGCTAGTTTATTCTAAAAAAAATCAGTTCTTCATTACAACAATATCCACTTTACAACAAAACTTCCCCTGCAGCCTCACCCTAAACCCTGACCCGATCCGATCCGGGCGGACAGGACAGCTGTTTAGGGTGAGGTGATCAGGGGGATTGAGTTTCCTTCCCACCGCCCAAAGAAACCTCCTGTCGCTTTCCGTTACTAGACTCACCACAACCAGATAGACACATCTAGAGAGACAGACAACACACACACACACACACACACACACACAGTCTCCAGTCTGTGTTGTCATACGCCTAAACTTAACATGCAACATGACAGCATCCAACTCTGTCCAAAGAAAGCCAATAAGACTGACAAATTTGACATATTGAACATAATTTATACCGTGCATGTAAATTGTAACTAATATAGTAATATTCAAACACGTTATTTGTCAACTGCTCTTTTAAGAATAATTTCACATATCTTAATGCAAGAATACAACAAATATAAAATGCACATATGAACCCTTTAAATTGTTTTAAGACCATTTGTGCAACCTAATCAGCCAGTAAACAAGAGTGAAATGCATGAAAATTAAATAAACCTGTGCACTACACACTGCATTAAACTCATAACTTCACTTATTTCTGTGTCTGTGTAAAATCAGTCAGTCTGAGCTCAGAGAGTCTCCACTGTTTGCATGTGAGCAAGCATTGATAAATGCATCTTTAATTGCACAGACAGGCGGCCAGAACTGTCTCTGCTCGTTTGCATGCGTCTCTCGGTTGAAAAGCACCGGGATGATCCCGGTTAAATGTCCCGTGCGGCAGCGCGAGCTCTGGGTCCACAGCGGGCGCTAGCGCGTGCTAACGAACACTGATTTATTCCACCCCCTATTTATAGGTCGAAATAAACATTAGAGACCCGCGCCTATGGTTCATACTCAAAAAGAGCATTAAATGCATTGATTAAAAAGTGAGGAGCTGTTAAAGTGCGATCGAACCGGGCCTACAGACTCAACGGGCCGGTTCGCGCTTACCGTGCTTGCTTTCTATTTTCCCCGACATGATCGCTGCGCTGGCCGGAGCAAATCCTCAGTTTGGACAGACACAGGAGGACAAAATGGGGGGTTTAGACCACAGCAATCCCGAGTTGTGTTCTTCAGCCACACATTTTGACGTGCTGGCTCCGTATGTCCGCAGATCCCTGGTAAAAAGCGCAAGAACCCGTTCAGATGTACACGCTGGCGACAGGCAGACAGGGAACGCTCCTGCTGATGTGTGTGTGTGTGTGTGTGTGTGTGTGTGTGTGACTGAAGCATTAAAGGTCAGTATTTTGACACTTTCTATAAATGGTGTCTCTTGACTCTTATTTTTTAAAGGAACAAGACATGAATCCTGATACTATTAGATATACAAGTACATTTTATTTTCTCAATTTTTACACATATTATAGTGTAGAAACATATATTTGTTTATTGAACAGTGAAAAAATTTACTGAAAACCAACTACAAAAAAGAAAGAAAGAAAAGAAGTAAAATCTTGAAAAAGTGTATGTGTGTGTAATATAATAAATATATATATTTGGGGGGAACCCTGCATTTAGCACATTTTGTAATCACATTGCAAAAATTGCAAATATTATATAAAATACATAAATTATTACAAATAGGCTATATAATAAATTAACAGCATTTAGATGTACCACATTTAGTAATCAGGGTGCAAAAATCACAAACATTATATAGAATAAATGATTATCATATATATAATTGTTTATAACCAACCAACTGAAAAATGAGCACAAAAATAAAGCCGCATTTAGACATGCACCACATTTTGTGATTGGGTTGCAAAAATGGTAAATATTATATTATAAGTAAATTTAAGCTTTTTATGTCTCTTTTTTTCACTGACACTTTGTTAAAAATGAATGAATGAATTAAAAAATATATATTTTTTACATTTTTATATTTAATAAAATTATTTTACTTTTTCTTTTACTTTTTAAAGCCTAGTTTGTACCCGTCTGTGGATAGCGTCCTTTCATCTATAGATCGGGATGTTCTTGACCTCGCTGGATGCTTTCAGGGGGCGCATCATTCACATGTGTGTGTCAATGTTTCATTTATGTGCCATCAAAAATCAAAATCAAATAAAAAGATGAAACTACTGCAGAGGCAAAACAGACAGAATGGCAAGAGTGAAGGATGAAGGGATAACATTTAGAGGAAAACAAAACCGAGTACAGAGAAACCCCAGGGCTGTAGGACAGGCCGAGAGAGAAGAAAGTGTGTTTTTAAGGGTGTATTTGGGATGAGGTTTGTCTGGAGGATGGGCAAATATCAAGGTTTTTGGACCTGCTCTGCTTGATGACACAGTTATGACACACACACACACACACACACACAAGCACGCACGCACGCACACACACACAAGCACACACACACATCTTTCAGGGAACAATTAAAGGGATAGTTCACCTAAAAATGAAAATTCTTTCATTAATTACACACCCTCATGTCGTTCCAAACCCGTAAGACCTTCGTTCATCTTCGGAACACAAATGAAGATATTTTTGATTAAATGTGAGAGCTCTCAGACCCTGCATAGACAGCAACGCAACTGTTGTGAAGTTGTATGTTTTGAAGTTGAACTTTTTCCGAAGCTCTGAGAATACTTTTTGAGCGCAAAGAAAACAAAAATAACATAATTTATTCAACAATCCTTCTCCCCCGAGTTACGTCTCCCGCCATTTTAGAGAGTATCATAACACATGCGCACGCTTTCCCCTAAGCGTAAACAACGCTGATTACGCAGATTATGTTCATGCGCGCGCTTCCTCCTCCAAAAGTAAACAACGCTGATTACGTCGATTACGCTCTTGGCTACTCTCCAAAATGGCGGAAGATGTAACTCGGGCAAGAAGAATTGTTAAATAAATAGTTATTTTTGTTTTCTTTGCGCTCAAAAAGTATTCTCGTAGCTTTGGAAAACTGAAGTTGAGCCACTGATGGACTGTTTTACCGATGTCCTTACTATGTTTCTGGACCTGGTACATTGAAGGGTCTGAGAGCTCTTACATTTCATCAAAAATATCTTAATTTGTGTTCCGAAGATGAACGAAGGTCTTACGGGTTTGGAACGACATGAAGGTGAGCAATTAAAGTGTTAGTTCACCCAAAAATGTAAATTAGCCCACAAATTACTCACCCTCAAGTCATCCTAGGTGTATATGACTTTCTCCTTTCAGACGAATCCAGTCGGAGTTACTGTATATTAAAAATTGTCTTTGATCTTTCAAGCTCTATCATTTCACTCATATATATATATATATATAATGAATAAATCAATCCTATTTATGTTTAAGTTTAATGTTTTATTGCAAAAAATAAATTTAGCATACAGCACATTTATAGAATACTATTTTATCTGTTTTATTAGTAGAATAAGCAATGAATAG